ACGCTTAAATAAATTGTAAATTTAAAGTAATTAACAGATATTTAATCGGAAAGCGTGTTCACAGATGCTTTTTCTCACAAGCATTGAGTCATCAGATCCACGGGACAGGTATTACAGAAAAACAACAATTGTCTTATTATCTCACAACTGATTAATTGCAAAACTATTATGAAATATCAATCATTAACTCGTATAAATATGGGACACTTTCTTATTCTGTTATTCAGTTTAAACTTTGTATAACTTATTAATCAATTACTAGAAAACTTTCTATTCTAACAAAAAAAAGTAAGTCATCAATTTGAATCCATTTATTGAATATTAAACTAATAGTTGTATTGACATTATTTCTTAGAAATAACAATGAATTCAATTGTCATCAGTTGTGGTCTATTGGCTGTTGTGGTGATGTCTTGCATAGACATGTCTTGGGGCGAGTGCTGTCACGTGCCGTTGAAGTGTAAGGAGAGCTCGAGAAGCGTTGAGCGGTGTTATGACTGCACGGAATCCACGACTTACTGCGGGGTCGGCAAGTGTAATGTGTTTGGCTGTAACTGTGACGGCGGCTGCAGGAAAGGCGACTCCAGTCTCTGGTGTTGGAACATAGCCTCCGGGTGTAAGGGAAAGCTATTCCGCGAGAAAGTCCTGTCCATCACTAACGAGAGCCGCAGCTCATCGGACGTCAAACAATTGATCGCTGAGTTGGACACCGATTCGGACGGAAAAGTGAGCTATGATGAGGCGCACCGGTATTTGACCAAAATTCCATCAAATGGTCTCAACATTAAAGAGGAATTCAACAAAATGGACACAAATGGTGATGGATTTCTGTCAGCTCAAGAAATCGACGGATAAACTATTTGTTTGAATAAGTGTTATATCTATTATTTATTTATGTTTATTTATTATTAACTATTAGTGGAAATTTTATTGAAATTATTTCGCTTCATAAATAATTATTTGTATTGCAAGAAATAAATAAAAACCAGTTATTCAGTAACAAAGATACCTTTGATTATTATTATCACACAATATAGTCTATGTCCTTTGAGTGACAGAAATAATTTAAAAACCTATAACAAAGTATAATAAGAGTATACTTTTGCTTGTATTGAACTGGACAATAATTCCCAATAGGAATCACTGCTATTAGAAGTCTGCTAACTGTGAAGAATCTGAACTATTTTTCATAGAGAAATATGTTTCACTGGTTAGATATAATGTAAATTACATTTAATACATAATTGAAATCAAGAAATCAAAAATAATAGTCAACTAAATTGCGAACATAATATGTTTTATTTGTAATATTCAATTATTGAATGAATTTGAAAGTAATGCCTAAAATAGTTGGACAATAATTGCGAACAAATTCATGAATTAATTGATATATTGCTGAGAGAAGAGGTGCTGCCAGTCGTAGAGCCCGTCGTCGTTGTACTCATTCTTCTGAAACAACTCAATGAATGGTTTCTNTGCTGAGAGAAGAGGTGCTGCCAGTCGTAGAGCCCGTCGTCGTTGTACTCATTCTTCTGAAACAACTCAATGAATGGTTTCTTAAGGTTAGAGTAATTGGGTTTCTCTTCAAAGTCTAGACAACGGACGGCTCGAAGATAATCAGCAAACTCTTCGGGATAACCATAACATAGGGTCTCAATAGAGATGCTTCTCTTGAACTCTCCGATGAGATCCCGTTTTTTCTGGGCCGTCGACTCCGGGAGTCCACTCCACGGGAGGTCTCCATTCTTGCGGAAATACATTATTACATATCCGATGGCTTCCAAATCATCGCGTCTGGACTGCTCGTAACCCAAGTGAGTCCATCTACTCATATAACGGGGCGGACCTACCAGTGCTTTATTCTTCTTGACAGGGATGTGGTCTTTGGTCTTCTGGTCGATGAACTCCTTCGCTAATCCAAAGTCAATCAAATGGATTATGTTTTCAGAGGGCGTGCCTTCCGGTCCCAACACAAGGTTTTCAGGTTTGATGTCCC